CACTGATTGCAGCCCCATGGCAAAACACATCCATTTTCCTTAGGTGAAGGAACAGACTCTCAAAGGGTTTCCCTTCCCTTTCCTGTTGTATTTATTCAGCAAAGAGGCAGAGATTACTTGTGCTGGTGAGAGCAGGGGGAAGCAGATTAGGGTGGAGGGTAAGACAACAGGAGACTAAATTTTCTAAGCCTCAGCAGAAGCATCACTAAGGTGATTACAATGATGCTTCCCATCACTGAGTGCAACAGCACATCTATGAAGTGGGAAGAGTCTTTTGACTATCTACCTTTGAATAAAAGGCGCTGAAAGAGGCCTGTGCTTGTGACTGCTCCCTAAAAAAACAGCCTGAATGTGTAATTTAAGTAAGTCACAGTGTGATGTTAGTGCCCATGGCCATAAAGACAGCACCTGGCTGCCCAGAGCCCTGGCTTTCTGGCAACAGAAATCCAGACTGTGTCGGTAAAGGTTATACAGCAATGACTGAAACTGCAGGCAGGCTTTAGGCACAGGCAGAGGGGAGGGTGTCCCAACATGTTTCATCTGCTGCTCCTGATAGTCCTAAACCCACCAGCCCCTGCCCGTGAGTCTTGCCCTTATGTGACCTCAGTGGGTTTTGCTGTGCTATGTCTTGGTGTTGCAGGAGTTGCTTACAGACCTGGGCATCCCACCCTGCTGAAAACCAGCTCTTTGCCTGGCATTCCTGCCCTGCTGCCTGGGGAAGCACAAGCTTCCACAAGGCGTGACTATGGCTTGGCCTTGCTGACACCACTGTCCTGGTTTGTTTGTAGGGGTTTTGGTTGTTTTTTGGGGTGGTTTTTTTGGTTATACACAGGTAAGGAAACATCCAACCTACAGTAAGTATCAAGGGAAAAGTTTCTTTAAGACTGTAAGTCTAAAGAAGAAGTGATAAGGAGGAAGGGAAAGAGAAGTGCACACTGTGGTTTTCTTGCACACACATCTTATTGAAGTCACATTATTTAGACGGTGTTTAAACCTCCCTGAAGTGATGTGAAGCTTTCTGTTGCCTCATATTAGGTTCCTGACCCATGAGTGGGGCTAAGACCTGCTTTAGGAATGCAAGAATACGATGACACTGAAATACCTGAATAGCATTTATAGATTGGGGAAAGAGAAAAGACTTCTATGGCTGGTGCTGCCTGAACCTCAGCGGAAACATGGGGAAGTGACGTAATGTCTGGGGGATAGAGAGCTGGCTTTGCTTACTTCATGGGGAGAAATGTCCCGCATGGCACACCTCGTCTTTCCACTCATCCCTCTTCCTCTCCCCATACAAGTCAGGATGTCAAGCAATGCATACAAATACTTCAAGCCTAGATAATCAGTGCCCAGTTTGCACTTGAAATGTTTAAAGAACCACCCCTACCTGTAGGACGGAGGAGCATGGTATCTCAGGTGTCCTGTTCCATTATTGAAGATGCAGCAGCCTTCCCAGTATCCCAACCAGCCATGGAGCTGCAACACAGAAAGCCCCAATGTGCAATTATTCTTCATGCACATTGGACTGAGCTCTGTCAAACCTTCTTCTTTCACATTAATGATTTTCTGGAGAAGGTGAGGGTAGGGAGAGTAAAGGAAATGGAGCTTACCAACCTGAGGTCCCACAGACTGACATGGCATCTCAAGTGGTGGGAGCGGTAGGGAGATGCAACCTGTATGTTCCCCATCTGCATGAGCATCCCCTTGCCTCAGCCACCTCCACTGTGAGGCTTGTGTAGAAAATGGGTAATGGGAGGCTGGCATCTTCAGTGAGAGCTGCTGACCTTGCGTCATGCAGGTCTGCATGCTTGGAGAGGTCGAGCGCATTGCAGGGATGTCTGGATCCAAACTCACCTTGGAAAGCCAGGATGAAAAAATTGCAATTAAATAAATTTAATACATCTTATTTTTAAAAGCTGCTGGGATGTTTTGGGGTTTTGGTTTTTTTTCCATGCCTGGGAAGAATAGTACCTGTGTTGAAGCTGGAAGTGAGGACACAGCATCGCGGTTAGTATTGCAGTGCAGTGCAGCCCTCTCCAGTGCGTATGGTACCAAGCACCATTTTTCTTCCCAGGATCTCTGTCTCACTTGGTTCATGGGGTGGCTCTACAGGGATTGAAGACTAAACTTGCCCAGGGATCTGCAAATGGCTGCTCTGATTGTTCAGGTACTTACCTTTCAGCACAAGTCATCTGTTCACATGCAACATCTGTCAGAGGCATCAGCAACTAATGCATCCACACCTTCTTTCCCATGAGTACATCTGGTGAAGGACCTCTGCAAGGGAATCCCTTTGTTTCCTTCTTTCTGATGCCCCATGGGCAAGGACCACCATATCTTACTCTCTCCAGAGAATGAGGAAATGAATTCAGGCTGAAGTAGATGGAGGGCTGCTACATCCCAGTAGCCAGCTCAAATGACAGAATTTACTTCTCACTCCACAACATGGGGTACATCATGCTGATTTTGGCTCTTCCATACTGTGCATGCTAATGTACTTCAGACCAAAGTAGGCTCCTCCAAGCTTACCATCACTCTGATAGCTGTAGTCTTCACAATCTCAAGTAATTATCATTACCAAGGGCTTCTAAGAGCTCAGAATGAGGACTGCTGAAGCCATGGTACTACACGGCAGTCCTCCTCCCCTCCAAACCCTCTCTGATGGGCTTTTGTGTGCCTGACCCCAAGCACTGCCAGGAGAGGAAGGAGGATGAGGTCGGTTCCCAATACCTGATAAAGAGCTTCAACATACTTTCTTCTGCTTCGAGGCTGTAGCACTAAGGCACTGTTTTGTCCTGTTTGTTGCAGCATGTCTCAATTCTGCCATTTATGGAGGGAGGAGGTGTGGTTCCCGATGACTGGGACTATGATGCACGTCCTTGGTGGCAAGCAGGATTTCACATTGCAGATACCCTACGTTGTAAACCAAAACCGTAGTCTTTAGTCTCAACACAGATAAGATCACTTCTTGTATCTAAGGGTAGGGCTATGCCAGCAAACAACTGCCATAGTGAAACTAGAAAGATGAGGGTGGCAGAGGGGTTAGCAACACATGACAGTTCAGGAGATCCAACCTCTGCAAGAGATACCACACTTGAAGACACTGCTCAACATTAAAACCATTGTGAGTGCAAAACCCACTTGCACTTGGGGAAATAGGACATTTTTTGGTAGCTTGAACTGCAGCTTAGCTGTGACTTTCCCAGCAGGAAAAAACAAACAGAAATTGACAGATAATTCAAAAACTGAAGAGAGAAATAAAAGCAGCCACCAGCCTAGGTTTTGGGACTGAACCGCTATCCTGAGCTGCTAACAGAGAAGCTCCAGGGAGGCTCTGGGAAAACCTTGTAGGGGAAAGGCCAAATTACTGCTACTCTGTGGTGGAGCTGATGGATGGATGCCAAGGGCAAAGCCACAGGCTTCCATCCTGCTTCAGGAGCTGCCCTGCACTTAGTCCTGTCCCTGAGCTGCGCCAGAGCAAGCTGTAGAGTAAGGGAAACCCACCCTGAGGGCATCCCTCTGACACTGCCTCCCCAGCACTGTGTCCCTCCATGCCTGGGAAGCACCACAGCACAGGTCTGCAGAGCCCTCCCACTGCCACCAGCACGGCACGCTGAAGCTGACCCATCTCTGAAGTATGCTTTATTGAGCTGCACTTCAGCTGATTAAACTAATTATTACACCAGGCTTAATGAAACCAACTGTCTCTTTATTCTATTATGGCCATTATTAAGGATTTACCTTCTCTAGGTGCAAGAGGTTCACCTGGAAAGCCCACAGCCTGTGTGAGGGGAAAGCTGTAGCTGGTGCTGAGAGTATCCCTGTGCCAGCCCTGAGATGCAGGCAGGGGCTGTGCTATTGTGGGCAAGACTGTCATCATCCTGGGTGTAATGCTCAGGATCCATCTGCACACGTTTCCACAGTGTTCTGCTGGAGTAGCTGCAGCCACTGAGCAGTAAAACCACTTTCAGGAGAAAAAAATCAGGAGTCCATGGGGGTTCACAGATATATTACAAAGAAATGAGCTCCCTCCCCCAAAATAATGTTGAAAGTTATGCATTTTTAGGAAAATAAACATTTGTTCTGCCTGCCTCTTGGAAAGAGTGGAAAAAAGAAATTTTTAGGCAATTACATTACTATTTACATAAAACATATGTAGGTATTTGCTCCATAATGTGTTAGGTGAAGAATGAATAGGCTGTAGCCCCCAGTAAAACAGAATACTAGAGATGAGTGCCAAAAATCCTGCTAAGTGTCCTGGCCTGGCGCAGACCCAGGACAGGGAAGAGGCCACCCTGCTGCTATCCCCTTGGAAATGGTTTGTATTAGTAGGGCGCTTCTCTCCTCGGTGAAGCCTCTGTGGACAGAGCCAGGCAAAACAGCTCCCCTAATCGCCAGCATGGGTTTGCTTCTCTTGAATTGAAAACCAGCTTTGCCACCAGCTCAGCCATAGCCACGTGGAGCACGATGCTCCTGTTATTTAAGTTATAGTTTTTAAAGGCAGCCACAGTGATTTACTTGTGCTTTACTGCAAACAGCAGTCTGCCAAGGTTTCCATGCATGGCTATGGTCGTGGGAACAGAAGTGATGGGCAAAAACACCCAAGGAATCAAAGCTGGGAGGTTGTACCTTGTTTTGTTTTGTTTGCTTGTTTATGTGGTGGTGTTTTGTTGGTTTTTTATTAACAAAACTTCTGAATTTGTGGTCAACTCACCTGCTTACAGCAGCAAACCTGGACCCCTCTCTCTCCACATCACTGGGCTCAGGGTATGCAGCTAGTTGTGATGAAATGCGAGCTTTCAGGAGGCCTTGTTTATCTAATGCTTTCCTCTCTAAGAACAAAAAACATTTCTGGTGTTCTGCTGGAGTCTGTTGAAGTATTTAAGAGACTGAAGTCATTGACCACAGTCTCTGACAGTACATTCAAAGCAGGTTATGGTCTCTCCGTATGAAGTGTTACATTGCTGAGTTATGACAGATGCTGATACCTTTGGGAGCAATAAAAATAACTCTAGTATGCAACAGAAGATGAATTATAATTCACAATAATTCTTGGTAGAAAGCATACATTTTTAATTACAATCATAACCACTTTTTGATTCTGAGATAAAAACGGTTACCATAGTGACCCAATCCTTAAAGATAATTTTGCCCAGCTCTGTATAAAATGCTGTGTGATACCTGCCTTCACAGAAAGCAGCTTACAGAATGAGTTTTCCAAGTGTTAGGCCTTGGGTATGAAAAAGCAATGTAGGCTACATGGAAAAATAACTCCCTTTTGGTTCTGTCTCAGGAGCCTTATACACACATTTACCTGCAAGTACCCTCACAGACGTTGTCTTGCATTTGGTGCAAGCTACAAATCTTGCTCAGCTTTCAAGCCCATGTAGAGTCTGCAGAATTGCAAAGCCCTGTTGAGAATCATCAAAAATGGAGAGGAAAATCAGAGACATGTTTGTCCTGCAGAACAAGCCACCCACTGCTGCCTGCCATCAGGGTGTTAAAAAATCCCTGGGTTTACATACTTTGAACAGTCTTAATATGTATTTCTCCAATAGACCATTTACCAGCACTTCCCTGTGAATATTTAGGGAAGCATACTCTGAAGTCACAACATTGCTATAGTCAAGCAAAGGCATGTTTTGATGTGCAAAGTGAAATGCAATCCTCAGTAATACTAGTACAAATTATTAGTCAATAATATCTTCTGGGGACTTCTTTTGGTAATCCCTGCTTATCTCCCTGCACCCCTTATGTGGATTTAGAGAGACTGGTCTGCACGATCGTGTTGGGAATGCTCCCTGTCCCAAGCCATGGGGAAGATGGGTGTCACGCTCCCTCCCATCAATAACCAATCATGCGTCCGTGGCAGCAGTGAGTGCGATGCAGCCCTCTTTCACTTGGGTGCCTCGGTAGTGAAACCAACTTACCTGTTGGCAGGCCCCTGAGGACAGTCACAACCATAGTCATGGGGCTGAAGGACTGGGCTAATCACTGGATCTCTGCTGCCTCATGGAGTCCAGTTGCTTGCCTACACACAGCTTGAAATCATTTTGGTTATTAAAGATAGCGAATCAGTGGGAGGGAGCACTGACCTGTCTGGTGTGGAAAGTGAATTTTCTCATGTCACTGTGAGTTTCTTGTCATCAGCGATAGCCCTGCAGCAGGCTACTTTGCTATGCAACATTACATTTACCCTTCTTTAATTATTTTATGACACTTTCTCTGATCCCAAGGGTACCCCTAATTTAGGAGCATGCAGAGGTGACAACCCCTGGCTATTGAACCATGGGCTTCTCACTTTCTGAGGTATTTTCTCCTACCAAAAAAATCTTGCTGAACCTTAGCCATCGTGTGAAAATGCTGAACACTATAGCTCCAGGTGATTAATGTACCAAGCCAGCTCAATCTGGGCTTATTTTAGTCTGTTGCCTTTAATTAACCTCTTATTTCTGGAAGCTAACGGATGAAAACTTCTTACTTCCCAAAACAGTATGACGAGGGGGTGTTCCAGAGGTGTTACACTTTGCTTCAAAAGCTGGCCCGCGTGGGAGGAGATAAAACAGGTACGTGGCCTTTTCAGCTCCCCTGTAATGTGCAGAGAAGGGGCAAGAGGGTTCTCTCCTTCACACCACCGAGTGATGAATATTTCCAGTAGCTGCTTTATTTGCAAAGTGTTGGCCCTTACAATAAGTGCCTCCCAGTCCCCTGGTGGTTGGCTAGCAGCGATGATGAAGATCAAGCCTGATCACCTTGAAATGCCCGACTTTCTAAAAGCTGCCCCTCCTTTTCTGCAGTGCTCCCTCCTCCTTTGCTCCTGATAACACACTCCTGCTTAAAGCCACCCAGTCCTGCCCCAAAATACAAGCGGAGCCGAGTCCTCTTGGCCAACCTCAGATGTCTCTGGGGCGTGCATGGACCGAGTCCCTGCTTTAACACCTGGGATGTTTCAAACTCCAGTAAATCCATTTGTGCTTTATCTCAGCTGATGCCTTTTTGCCTTCCAAACATGTTGGGTCCAAAGGGCAGAGGTTTAGGTAAGAAAAATCCTAAAGGATATTTGATGCTTGGTATAAAAATCCTAAGGTGCTAGATCAATTCCAAATATATATTTAATACATGAATAATTAAGTACCTCATAGCAGCCTCCAGGCACTGAATATGAGAAATGAAGGATGTGAATATGACAATTGAAATGAGCCTTTGCTTCAGTTCCCAGACACAGGACTGAAGAAAGCATCAGAGTCATCTCCACGCATCCTTAAACTCTCAATATTCTGCCAGTCGACTAAAAGCAATGGTAGCAATAACAGAGACATTTGTAAGAAATGATCTTCCCCATGTACAGCATGAACTGAAAATATCCTTTAACTGGATGAATCCTCCCCACACCCAACAGCACCCACAGACCAAGGGCTGAGGAGCATCTCACAGGGCTGAGACAGGGTCACTGCCACCCTCAGGAGCCACAGCCCATCCCTCTGAGTGCAGGTCTGTTGGCAGATGGTAAGAAAGTAAATTGAACTTTAATTTCACCTTAATTACACTTTTTTTCACTGCACCACCTCTTAATCCACACCCCATTTCGTAGCAGAGCAGGGCCTTGGGAGGAAGGAAAGGTGCTGCCCCAGGAGCAGAGCGAGCCTCGTCCCTGTTATGAAACATGGGCAGAGGAGCAGTGAAACAGCTGAACACTTCAAGTGTTCAGAGACTCGAAATAAGGATCTAAACTGTTAGTTTTTCTGTAGTTAGGGAAAAAACAAAAAATCAAATCCTTTGATTTCCTTTTAATTGCTATTTACTAGGGATAAAGTTAAAACAGTCTCATTTAAATATGCTAAAACACTCGCAGAGAGTTCTCAGCAACAAGCTAACAAACATTCAGGAGGAGAGATAAGGAGGGGTTTCCTTTTTTGTTTTTAAGGGGTTTGGGGCTGGTTTTTTGGTTTTGTTTCTTTTTTTTTTAAGTTATCAAACTAAAATCTGCATGTTCAGAAAGCATGAGCTCTTCCACAAGCCAAATCCTTACCCCGAGGCCAGCACTGCCAGCTCCTGTGAAGATCCTTCCCTTCTAAAAAGCCTGTAAGCTTAAGGGCAATCACAAGAAAACAGCCGTATAAACTGGTGTGCTCAATATTTAAGGCTGAAAAACAGAGGAAACTTTAATTACCGGAGCAAAGACCTTAAGAAACATGTCAGTGAGCACACCTTCACCATTATCATTACCATTGCTGTCATCTTCCATCACCATCTACCTTTCCCACAGAAAACACAAGTTGTTTCCAGAGGGAGTGAGCAGCTGCCAGACCCGGGGTGCTGATGTGGGCTGGCAGAAAGAGTCCCTGTCAGTCACAGAGAGGTACATGGTACTTCAACAGCTGACAGCATCTACCTGTCCATATTTTTGGAAGAAAGCACCATGCTGAAAGCACAGGTCTTGTCGTTGCTGAAACATCTTTCCCTGGTGGGAGCCCTGCACATGTCCCCAGTCCCACCCTGATAACACCCCTCAGCACAGCTCACATGTCCCATAGCAGGGAGGAAGCTGCTGCCTCTTCAGAGCTGTTTTACCCATCAAACTCCTGCTGTGGCTCCCAAAAGCACCTTCAGGTTTATGTGACTTTGGTCCAGCTGTGAGACAAGCTGTGGTGGTAGCCCCTGTACCTTGCCACTCCAGCAGCATCCAGATGCTCTCTGGGAGGGTGAGGAAAACTGTTCACACGGGTTGCTCAAGCAGGCAACACAGCTGGGGGAATAAAAATAAAGGAAAGGAATTGTAGATATTCCCTTCTTGGTAAGGATCCTGTTTCCAGAAGACAGGCGAAGTTGTATTTCCTTTCCAACCAAGAGCGCAGCAAACACTCCAGCTTAAAATAAAATGAAATTCACACCCATGAGACAGCTGTGGTGTGAAATGCAGGTTGAGAGCTACTTCCCCAGAGCATCTCCCAGGTGAAACGGCATAAGGAAAAATGAAACAACAAAAACCCACCAACAAACAGTTGGGTGGAAACAAGACACCAAAGTGTCGTAGGGAAGGAAAGCAAAAACTGAATGCATTATGGTTTAGGTTGGCACCTTATTGTGAATACAGATTGCTGCTACCTAGCTCATTTCACATCTGTGTTATGGGGAAACTATGGTAAAATGGATGAAAGTAATGCTTTAGTCAAACCCTGTTGTCTTTGGAAGATTATCTGCACGGCAGTAGGTTTATAAATGGCTGTTAGGGAACAGAAATGGTTTCTTTGTGTACAGAAAAGCTGAGTGTGCCTGCTTGAAATTCTCAGTTAGGGGAGTTCAGCTCCTATAATCACACATCTGCTCCCACTGTCTCTGCCCCAGGGCTGAATTTCGTTAACACTTTGGGCTGTTTCCCTTCTCCCACATCAAGACATCAAATCCCTCTGGAAAAACTGAGACCTCTTGATGAGTCTTTTCACCATCATGTTCCTATCCAGAGCTAACTCAAGGCAAATTCAAAGCCCTCCCTTCCCTCCTCCACATCTGCTGAATAAACAGCCTGGAAAGGTAACATCTCCATCCTGCTGCAGTAGGATTTTCAGGCAGGTACAAGATTTTTTCTGAGGGAGATGGAGTGCAGAGCAAGAGCTGTGCTTGCAGAGCTGGAGGTCCTTGTGCTCTGAACACCATCCAGCAGCTCAGGAACCAGCTGAAGCCCTGGGTGAAGACAGAGGATAGATATCTCTTCCCACAGGAATGATACTTTTTTCTTTCCTTCTTTTCCTCTTTTTTCTTACAAGCAGGCCTAGAGATCTCTTAAGAAAGCACATTCAGGCTACTGTTGTTATTTTTGATTGCAGACCCAGAGCAATGGACCTGCTTGCAGATAAATAGCTCACTGAGCAACACATTAACTCCCGTGTTTTGTTGTACACCATGTTAGAAGGAATTTCAGGTCCCTTCACACCTGTGCTAGTGGAAGGTTGCCTTCCACTTAAGCCTAAACCTAACCTTGAGGCTTTGATGCAAGTAAATACAGACAGGAATTCAGTTACCAGCTTCCTACCCAGGAGGATGACCAACGCAGCAAAAGCCATTCCCATTTTGGAGCTATCTCCAAGGCTGCTTGGCACAGAAACCAGACCTGGAAAATCACTGCTGTGAGTTCATCAGCGCACTGGTCTGCCCACTGGTCCTCACTGCTTTGTGCTGCCTGATGGAAACCACACTTGCTACTGGCATCCCAGCATCACACCAGTGTTAGGGTGGCAAACAAGGGAGGGTTGTGCCACTCTGCTGCTTTTGCAAAGGCTGATGGAATTCCTTGCTGGTGTTTCCTCTCTCAATGAGAGCGTATGTGCTAGGCATCCCCATTGTTCATGTTGCAGAGTCTTTTCTAATGACCTGCAGGAGCAGCTCACGGGCTGGGAGAACCTGAATTCACCTACCTGCAACACCAGCCAAACCAAACAGCACTGTTTTTACAGCACATATAGTGATGAATGTCAACCTCCTGGTGGTCTCTGCCTGCAAAGATGAAATACTGCTGGCAGCACGGGCTGTGCATGACAAAGGGCAAAGATTGTTATTCTTCCTTGTTAAAGTCTCACAAAGTAATAGGCAAGAAGGATGTGAGTCGTTGAAGTAGCTCAGCCTCCATCCGTACCTTCAAGGCATTTCAAGGAGGCTGTACAGCAGGTAGCTGGAAGCAATGCTGCCTAAAGTCAGAGAAACAGCTGCTGTTCCCTGCAGTGTGGTGGAACAGAGGCAAGAAACTGTTGTGCTGTCGAGTGTCTAGAAGTCTGTTTGGGTTTGGTACAGAAAAGACACCCCAGTGTAACCAGAGGTGATGTTCTTACAGAGCATTACCTTACTATGCAGGTATTAAAATGCATTATGAAAAGGCATTGGCTGGCCAAACCAGCTTTTGCTTCCTAGCGTTCCGCTGGTGTCCCACATGAGCCAAGTCCTCTCTGTCTGGGTGTGGATATGTCTGGGACACTGAGCTGCTTTTGTACTGCTCCTTCTGCAAGAGAAGCTCATGTTCATTTCCCGGAGCATAAAACTAAGCCACTTTAGCTTTCCTAATGATCTGGGCTCCCCTGCTGCGCCAGCTTCAGCACCAGTACCCAGGCCTGTGCCTTGCTGCCAGCACACTATTCCTGGGAGCCAGTCTGGTCTGTGATAAAACCAGTGTGGTGCTGTGTCCTCCCTCCCCACTGCCTGCTGGAAAACAGCGGGGTGGCTGGTTTGTGACTATCAAAAGTAAAAGCAGAGGTTACTGAACCCACATCCTTTGTGTCGTGATTCAGAGGCTGGCCAGAGGAACTGCTAACATGGCAAGACAGTGATAGCTAAGTTCCTTTTGAGGAGAAAAGAGAGCAGAAAGGGGCAGGCAAGGCATAGTATCCATTTAACCCAGACCATCGTGACCCATCCTACTTTGTCTGAAGTTCTCCTGTTTCTAGCACCCTCCTGCACATTTGCAGGAGCAAAGGCAATGCCCCACCAAGAGCTGCATCAGAACCACACCAAAAATACCAGCAGCTAAACCCACATACACATAGCAAATAAATAAATACCAGGGTTCCCACATAGCTCACTTCTGTCCTGTGGGATCCATTCTCCCTGTAGTGCCTCTTTGGCTCTGGGCTCAGTTTAGCAGGGAAGGCAATGCCAGATTTTCCAGCTAAGCCAGCCCAGGGCTGCCTCATGTCCCAGTAACCTCTTTATCTGTATGAAGTGTCTGAGGTTGATTTTCTTCCTGACATACCTGGTATTTTGTGTCACTTCAGAGTATTGCTTAACACAACACACATAATTAAGAAAATTAACCTGTCCAAGAGCTGAGAGCTGACATGCTGCAGGCTCATCTGTCAGGGGGTTTGGGCTATCGTTACCTAATGACATGGGGACATGTTTTCTCCATGCAGGCTCACAGAGGCTGTCAGAAACCACTTCGTTATTAGCTCTCTCGAAGGAGAGGGAAGACTCGCACCAGAAGGCTGCGCTGTTTCTCTGGCACTTTGTTACGTTGTGCTGGAAATTGCAAGTCAGCGTAACAAAAAATAGGCCAGTTTTAATTAATACGGGAGATGAGCACAAATGGCACAGGGGCTTCTTGGTGCTGTGGGTCTCGTCTCATACTGGCTCTTGCCCCAGCAATAGGGCAGTGATGATCGGAGGTGGTGAGGGGCAGTTCAGGCAGGTGATGCAACAAGTTTGTCTGCCAAATATTTCTGGTAAGGCAGCTGCTGGCAAACAGCACCAGGTGAGACACTATTGCCCCACCATGTGGGGTGAGCAATTTGGAGGGGAAAAGCTAACATTATCACAATATTATCCTCCAAAAGATGACCAGCAGTTGTAACTGCCCTTGATTTCCATTTCATTTGCAGGACTTGAGGAGGGCTGAAATGTGTTTTCCTGGGCATTAAAACTGCCAAGCAAAGCAAGAGCAGGTTTAATACTGCATGTGGCTTGGTGAGCTGCTGTCCCTGTCCCCACCACAGACACACACCATGCTTTGGCAACGTGATGTGCTTTTGTTCTCATTTCCCCCCTCCTCAGTAACATGGGGATAATATCACTAATTTTCAATTACAAAACACAGACTCAAGTATTAAGGTGCTGCATTCGAAACGGAGCTTTGAAAGCCTAGAAATTGTTTTATCCATAATAGGGTTTTGTCTTCCCTGAACACCATCTCGAGTACCTGGAACTCTCACACCAGTAATTATGTCCATTAATTTTTCCTTATTTTGCTCCATCAGATATCCTGTTTATATTCTACACTAAATCCTGCTGCTTCCAAAACCCTTGGGCAAAAAAGCTAATTTTATATGTCAGACCATGCTCTGGGAAATAAAAACCATATGCGCCTAATGAGTGAGGCTCAGCTATAGTTAGTGCATTGCCTTTGCATTGCAGCTGAATCCTAATGATCATGTTCCCAAAACCGGCACAGTAAGCCAGCTGGTTAGGTGCTCTCATTTAATGAAAAAGGAAAAAAAAAAGGAATATTTTATATCAAATGTTTCTGGATCTAGAAGTCCCCTTCATCCTGCAATCCACAGCAACCCTCTGAAAGGTGTGGTTTGTCACATAAGTCTTTTGCAAGTACAAGAAAACAAGGATCCTTCTCTCCCCTTTGCAAATCACACCTTTGCCTTGCAATGGCTCCTGCCCTTCTGTCCTTCAGAGGGTCTGGGATATTATAGGATGACCTGATGTAGCTCAAGAAAACACATCAGGCCACAAGCTCTGGTTTTATTCTACCAGAGGATGCATGAGTATGTAAATACACACCCTTTTGCCCCAAGGCAACCCCGCTGACTATTTATGTGGCAGGATTTCTCCTCCTTATACTTTTAACAATCTGTGTAAGGGCAGAAAGCTGAGTGTGTGGTCAAAAATGTCACATACCTGACCCAGTCCTGCTGTGCCTAGATGGTCAGCAGCGAGCAAAGCCACCCTGAGAAAGGCAGGGCTCTATTTCCCAGCCTACAAATGGCACCGAGATGAGTTCAGCGCAAGCTTCTTCATCCTCCAGTGTATGGTGCATATCCCACCAAAGGCAACCCCTGAACAGGTCATGCCATCAGTGACCTGCAGGCACAGGAAAACTGTTTCTTGGAAACTTTGAAAGCCCAGAGCAGTGAGACAGTGTATTTCCACTATTCATTCATCAAAAGCCATCCATTACTTTTGCTCCTAAGACACTGCTTGGAGGAGGAGGTGAACTCCCCTCCGCCTGCTGCTCCTTCAACATTGCTCCACTTTGGGGAACAGAAATCCACCACCTTCCCTCTGCCATGCGACTGCTTCAGGCCAGCAAAACTTCAAAAACTACTAAAATACTTTTTAAAAATAAGTTTAAATAACAATGAGCTTTGGGAAACCATTTGAGGAGGCAAGCGCCATTCTAGATTGCATCTCTTACAGGTTTCAAGGCTGGGTACAACAAGCAAACAGTTGGGCTTCAAACTTTTAACAGTTTAAAATGGAGCCTTTAACTGTATTTTGTAGGTACAGAGCTGGGTGATAGCTGTGTGGAGAGGGCCAGATGGTGCCTGTCCCACATAGCTCTTCTAGGTATGCAGATGCTTTCACAGCTGTGCAAGGGCAGTGAGTACAGCCTGGAGAGGTGAGGGTGCCTCCCCCCCTTGTAGTGCTGGGATTTATTCAAAGAGGGCAAAGGCAGACCAGCTGAGGGAGCAGCTGAAAGCAGCAGCACCTCTCTAAAGAGAAGAAAGGCAGCTACAGGATGATAATAGTTTTTCCCCCGACCTGCTGTAGTTGCTCAGTGAGACACACCACCCCTGTGCACCAGGGACCAGGCACGGAGATGTGCTCAAATACTGTACAACCCCCCAGCAAAACCCTCCTCCCACTGTTCAGCCTTCCTGCTCCTGAGCCAGCAGCCAAGCCTGGGCAACTGAAGGCAGCCTGAGCTCATCCAGCTTTTTGGAGGATAGAAGACACCCCAAAGCCTCCATCCTTTGCAAAC